TCTCTTCTGTCTTCATTTCGTCCGTCTCATCTTTCTCACCCGAACCACCACCCACCCATTCCCACGATTCCTGAAAGCAGGCTGAAGAGGGCCTTCCGCCCTACCTTCCGGCGTAGTCCGGAGGGACTGTCCTCCCACCAGCATTACTGGCTGGTGGGAATGAAACACCCAAAAGTTTTTTATTTTTTTATGGCGTCCAGACGTTTATCCGATTACATTATCAATTCCATTCACATTCCGTCTAAAAACGTTTGATTTCATAAACATTAAACGTCCAATCCGAATCCAGTCTAAAAATTGTTGCAATACCTATCGCTCTTGTTAATGCGATACATTGTCACTTTGCAAAATTTTGGCGGGCCCATGTTGTACTTTCTGTTATAATCGCTCTTACCAGTATTGCTTTATAACAATTTTATTAGTTTGTTTCAACTGTTTCAATCGTCTCTGCGAAAATCCGTTGGCGAAAAGTTACACGTTTGTTGATTTTTTGAACGGTTTTTTGAAGGAGACTCGATGATTGGTTTGAGATCGTACTTAATAGAAGGTCCACCACAATTATCCATTAGATTAGCCACTAGTCACACGATAATACGCATTAGACTTATAACAAGTCTAATAAATCCATTCGTTTATATTTAATTCCTTTCATATATTATGAATCCGAAGACGTGTTCTTCGTTTCCTTGCAAATGCTTTTCCTTATCGAGAATAATAGCAGTAATCATTAAATTTTTCTTGGACCACATGTACTTGCAATCAATTTCACATTACCTGCTTCTATAGTCCACTGATACGGAAAGGAAACGTAAAGTTCAAATGTGAATATTATCAAAATATACGAAGTGGTATGTACATGTGTACTAAAGTCGAAATTTGAAGGAAATTCTTGTTTTGAATACTAATCTTTTTATAGCTTTTGGTGTTACTTCAAGTTAAGGAGTCACTTCAAAATATTTTAATGTATATAAGGATTTTCATTATAAATTTTCTAATTTTGTATAATACCTTGTGTAAGCCTTTAAATTAGTTTGAACATAAAACTGCTATGCAGATGACTATGAAAAAAATATATAAAGTGANATTATTAAATTATATTATAATAATTTATTTCATTGGACCGTAAAGGTATTTTGGATCATAGTGATCACCGAATTTCGGACATTTGCAAGAGGGTGGTGCGAATTTTTGCCGTAGATCGGTCACGTATTGTTTATTCGAACGTTTGAACGGTGGCGGCCCCATTTCGTAGACTTCATGCAGACTTTCGAATATGAGATTCTTGAAAACGTCATGCACCACAGAGCTGGGAGGACGATTCAGATATTTCTCTATCAGTTCTTTCCGACACTGAAAATCTGCTTTTGTAGTTCTGTATTCTTTCGGCATTATTTCATCGTTCATTTTAAATTGATAATAAAACGGCGAATCGCAGTGGCTTTGTTCTTCGACGATATTGGCGAACATATCATTAAAAACAGCGTCAGCTATCAGACATTCAGCAACGTTTTTGATAAGCTCCATCTCGTTTTTCTTTAACAGAATCATCCTCTTCGTATTTTGATCTGTTGTCGAGTCGAAATCAATGAGGGTTTCGTGAAAATGGCTTTGAATAGTTTTGCAATAGTTGTCAATTATTTCGACACTGTTAAGCTGAAGGTACATTGGAGGGGATAGTTTGTATTGTTGACTAACGGGTATCAGAAGGTCCCTGTCCCTTGTATTGGACACGTTTATACACATGGCCAGTGACGTGTAGCTCACCATTGGACATGGAAGGTCAATTCTGTCGTCGGAAACTGGATATTCTATTCCTTTTTCGGTTATGGTGAAATCATCCTTGTGCCTTTCCTTTTCTAGTTTTTTGAGTTGTTCGGCTGTTTTGTAAGCAACGTATTGGGTATGGTCCAAAATGGTACATGCCATTTGGACAAGAACATTACAAGGTTTATCGTACGACTTGATTTGGAAAACAACTGCCTGGACTTCCTTGGGTTGTAACGTACCTTTTTTATATTCAGGCTGTATAAAAATAAGTCCTGGAATACATTTGTATTCAAAAGAATATCCTATAATTTTGTCATCTGTGAGATTTTTGATAAAAATTAATCTCAGTTCTTCGCTCCATAAATCGAGTCTTTCGACGGTGATGTGATCGGTAGATAATTCGATTGCGTTTTCTAAACTGAATTGCTCCGTATGAAGAGATTCTGTTCCTATCGGTTCAAGATTGTTGGTTCCCTGTCCGCATACAGTAAAGGTGACTGTTTCGTTCCCCAACAAAAGGTCAGTACTAATCGTGTACAATTTATGTTCAATTGGTTTAAATTTAATGAATATCGACGCCGAGGAATACGGCGGGATAACGGCGTTGGGGTTTATGCAATCCAGTATTAGACTTTGATAATCGAAATTGACGTCTATAAGCGGTGACGTATCCAATTCGTATTTAACGATGTTGGATGTGTTATTATACAGTCGATATTCTTGTATTTCGGTATCATTTAAACCGATATACGTTGGATTTAATGTCATACTAAAATGGGGATAGTAAGATGACGGAACTAGAGTTAAATTGGTTAAACATTTCACGCCAAAATTGATTTGAATCGTACGTTGGTCTCCCAGTAGTATTCTAACTAAAAATCGACAAGTTCCCGGAATGAGATATCTCATTTTTATCTGGACGCTGGCGATCGAGTTTACCGAAATGACATCTTTAACTGTTGTCCAAATTTTCGCCATTTCCGAATGAGGACAGTCGTTTACAACTTTTCTCCTGGATAGACCGTCGGATACTGTACGTGGAGGACATCCGCAGAGTTTAATGGCTTTTACGGAAAATTTACAGTTGGAACGGCTTACGTTTCTAACGATAAGGGTGCATTGGAATATATTGTCATTTACTTCGTAATCAGGAAGGTTCGCTTCAATTGTTCTCGTTTCTTTCGCTTCGATCGTTCGAAAAATTTCGTTGAGATCGTCAATTCTGAGGAGCTTCCACAGGACCACTTTCGAAAACAACGGTCCAAAATTACTTCCAACTAAATTAACTACTTGTATCGTTGCATACACGCAGTTGAGATCGATCGAGAATATGCGAAATGTTTCGTCGTTTATGAAACGTTTCGAATTTTCGCTCTCGCGAATCTTGTAATAGAATTGAAAGTTGTGTTTTCCGGATTGGTTTGCCGTTATCTTGATCGATATTCGACTGCTCGTTTTCGGTTGTAACGTTCCCATTTTAGGGCAGATCGATACTTTAAATTCGGGACGCTTTTCTTTGCACAGTAAAGTAAAATATACGATCGGCTCTGCTAGATTATGGAGATCAAATTCGGTTTCGCAAACTTGTCCATAAAACACTTCTTCGAAGTCGTGGCGTTTGGGAAAGGCGCACAAAGTGGAATATTCTGATTTTGAATACAATGTAACCGTGCCCACTGTAGGTTTTCCGGATACGACCTTGAGGTCGCGTAGTACGTGCATTTCATACCTGACAGGAATCTGTTGTGGCGTTGTTACGTCAACTTTTAATCTCCAATTTACAAATGCCAATTGGTTGGGTCCAATGCGACCGCTTATCGTGTTCATTTTTATACCGCTATGCTCATGCAAGAGGAAAGCATATTGTATTGTGAGAACTGTAGGATTAAACAGTGGCTCGGTTACTGACGATTCGCATTCAGCGTAAATCGTCCCGAAACGTATAACGTCATCGTGACCGACAATTAGTCTCGGAAACTGCGAACAGCATTGCACGGAAAATTGGTAAAAGCTTTCTTTTCGATTGTTAAAAATCACTTTCCAATATTCGAAGTAACATCTTTCTATGTCCTTGTCCGCGTGGAGTTTGACCGCGAAAATTTGGTAGTCCGTAAAAGTTCCTACCAGTGGTTTGATAATAACGTTCGATTCTTTTGGGGCAACGAATTTGAAAAGCACCGGCAAATGACCGAACGATTTGAGAATGAATGAGCCATAAGTGATCTCGCCTGGTACAACAGGGGCTAGCGTTATCACTTTGGGTTGCATTTCTATCCGAGGTAACCAGGAGCAAGTGCCGATAAACGTGTTTCCTATCATCCTCAAATTGAAGCAGATCGGTACATATATCTGTAACTTTTCTTGTTCTATCAACTCATTATTGTATAAAAAACCTTTGATAATTTTAGAATAAACAGTGTCGGAATAAGTGGGAAAAAACTTGCACTCAAAACTGGTTGTTTCTTCTTTTTTGAGGATTATTTTAGGAGGTATTATAACGAATTGTTTGTCAGAATCTGTTTCCCATTCTAAAAGTACATCTTTCTCCAAACAATTCCTACAAGACAAAGTCCTTCTTCCGCAGTTATGCTCATTGTTCTGTGAAATGATCTCAATCTTTTCAAAGTCAAAGTGAAGAGTATCGAATGTAACAGCAGAATTCATTTCGCTGTTGTCCCTAAAGTAATATTCATATCCTGATGCCTCGTGTTGTATTACCACAAACTTGTTTTCGTCGATTACATCATTTGGAAAATATAATCCTACCAAATGGAACACAAGCGGTCGCTGATTGAATATCAAACATACCAAATCTCTGCAATGAACACCTGGTTTCTTTGGTTTAAATATTATATCGACATACGCATGCTGTTTGGGTCTAAGTGATCCTTTTATGTTGCGTATTTTGTACAACCCATTTCCCCTTTCGTTTATATCGAATTGGTAGAACGCTGTTACCGAAGAGTTATTTTTTAATTCGAAAACACGTTTCTCGTTCTGTGCTTTCAAACTTATATTAAACATTAGACAATTCATCGACGAAATTATGTGAGGAGCTAATGAACTACCTTTCACCGAAAGTCTAAAGTGTTGCATTGCAGTCGGGTATATCTGGATGTTTTCGCAGTACTCCTGGTTCGGAAGCTTTGGAGAGAAGACGATTTTAATCTCCCACGAGTGTCTGGGTAACACACTGGCATTGTTTTCTTCTGTTATTGTAAACGCTCGGTACATGTACTGCATTCGAGTGTCTCGCTTTATGAAGAAATTACACGGGACTTGGCACGAATTTATAATGGTGAACGTTTTCGAGTTGGACTCGTTCACAGCAGTTGGCTGAAATTCAATCTCGAAGAAATCTTTTCTCAAATCGTCCGTGTCCGCGATGTAGAACAGATCGTTGAATTGCTTCAATTGTACACATTTGCAACTCTTTTCGGTCATTTTTGGTACGAGGCCTATTATTGTATTTATTCAAATAGGGTAAAAAGTTGGTCGGTGTTGTCAAAATGACATTCAGAAAGGAATTGACATTTATTCACCGTTTTGGGTGCTTTTGGCAGTAGTCAGACAAAGGTTAAATTCTATTTTTCCTGCTGCATAAAATCGAAATATAAATTAAACAGAACAGTTTGTTTTTAACATTGAAAGCTAATTTTCATTTTCTTCATTGATCAAATAATTTTTATTGAAACAGTCAACATTTTTCAACATAGAAATAGTTTATAATATTGTTTGAAATCCTGAAAATGAGTTAATGTAGTAATAATAGGTAGGTGTTTAAGTAATTGAAGATATTTATTCTTTAAATTATATATTTCTATACATTTCATAGAGGTTTCAACGATTCGCTAACCTGGTAGGTGCATTTCGTCGTTGTTTCTCCTGTAACCTCTTGTAGCTTAGTGGTTAGAGCGTTGGCGTTTGAAGTCAAAGGTACCGGGTTCGATTCCGGGCGAGGGTGTGACAGTAGCAATAATTTTCCTCCTTGATTCGAAGCGATCTGCAGAGAATTGATTCACATTATGTTTAGTTAAATTGCTGTTTAAGTAATGTTGGAATAAGAGTGCGGTCGATTGAACAGGCAAGCACTGAAGGTCCGCTTTGCTTAACCGATTTCACGGCCGATTGATAGTACCGATTTAAGTAGATTATACTAACAATTGCTTGTTATCCTCTTTCTCGTTGTACTAATACACTAATAAATGCTAAGTGTCGAAACTAATGGAGCCTGACAAGAAGGTTTAGCACAGTGTGATAATTATACAATGGTTTACAAACAGGACTATTTTTTTTTTAATTCTTAGGCTTTCTATAAAAGATTTTGAGAATTCAGTTGATTTAGGACTGTTTTTAGAAATGTAGATGGTATTTTTAGATAATAAATATGGTTGAAAGAACATATTCCACACATTCAGCTATACAATTTAGTTTGTCCTACAGGAATAAAACTTTTTCGTGCAAGAGTATGCGTATAGTCAGTCGTCCCGCACTCTTTTTTAACGAACGTAGAATACCGAGACCTTTAATTTCATATATGGTAAATTAAGTTTTTTATAGGTAGGATGAAAATTTCTTAAATTATTTCATGAAAAAAGAAAATGGGTCAGGATTCCAGAAAAAGGTTGGGTATGAATTTTCTATACAATAAATTTAGAAATGGTTTAATAGGTGCTTTCGAGACGTTTAAGCGGGAAAGATGAGAAAAACGTTTAAAATTTAATTAAACTGTCGGTTTATAGGCGAGCAAGGGTGATTTATAGCAAATAAAAAATTACCTTAAAAGAAAAGCAGCATTTCAAACGCGCTTAATATTCTTATTTTATTCGTCGGCTTATTAAACTGTAAATTACGTTTGGTTTGGTTTAGTTTCAAATGTGTTACTACGTTAAAGTTGCTTGGTTGCATTCTATTACAATACCAAGTTTTAATTTAATGTACAATTTGAATTTTGAAACGTGCATGTACCGTCCATAAAAATGAAACCCGTGTTTTGTTGAAACTTTACATAAAAGGCTGCCAGTTAAATTATTTCGTCGAATCATTCAAGTTTTTATTTTAAAACTCCACGCCTTTGCTAATAAAATTTGAAATGTTAAAGCTGATTGCATTTTGATGTTCCCATTTTCCTGAAAATATCGACTCTTTTTTATATGCCATGCACTGCCAAATAATGAACTTAAAACTTTTCTGTGCGTTAATAATCAAATTACATTGCTTCAGTGAACGGGTTCATTTTATCTTCTTTTTTTACTTAAAAAAGGGTTAATTCCTTTCTGTGAATTACATTTAATGAAAGTAAGGGAAGTTCCACCACTTCCTTACATAATAAATATAAAAAGGTCATTTCGGATTTAATTAGTCTGAAATTGGTTTATTGTATGTTCCATGAAACAAGAGGTGGGAATTACTTTCAGTATCCATAAAGATATATAAACCGCTATTCTATTTGTTCTAATTTAATTCACATATAATTGTATGTCGTAAATCCCTTGCTGGTGCTTAAAATTTAAAATCCTAAATTTCTCAAAAATTATGGAAATTAGTGCTATTGATTTATGCTAAAAGTTGCTTTCGCTGTACGTAATACCTGGCGGTATCTACTGCTAAAAATTTAATGAAAAAGTTGAACCAAAAGTTTAAGTAATTAAAGATATTTATTCTTTAAATTATATATTTCTATACATTTCATAGAGGTTTCAACGGTTCGCTAACCTGGTAGGTGCATTTCGTCGTCGTTTCTCCTGTNGGGAAATGCGAATAATGGCTCACGATAAAGATAAGAGTGTACGCATCCGGCAAATTTTCCGGATGTGGAATTTTATGATTTTCGGGAAATGCGAACATTGACTCAAGGGATGAGTGTGTGTGCGTGTCCACACAATCATCCTGAGTTGTAGAATTTTATTCTTTTTGGGAAATGCGAACATTGGCTCAGGATAATAAGGATAAGAGTGTACGTATCCAGCTAATTTTTCGGATGTAGAATTTTATCGTTTTCGGGAAATGCGAACAATGGCTCAGGATAAAGATAAGAGTGTACGCATCCGGCCAATTTTCCGGATGGGGAATTTTATGATTTTCGGGAAATGCGATCATTGGCGCAGAATAAATGTGTACCACAGCTATCATGCTTTTTTTTATTAACTTTTTTGACTTCAATTCACATTCTTGTGTTACCCTGTCAGAGACATCTCAAGCAAACGTATTTCAAATCAAACTGAATGCCTAATAGTTGTTAAATGTCACAACATCCTATGAATTTTTTCGATTTGAGTCAGTGTATACAAAAGTGTTTAGTAATTATTTAGGTCGCGAATGCCATGAATGGCGATTTCTGTTAAAATTTTCATTTATGAATAGCTAAAGGTTTCACTCTTTCACAATTTTGTGGTAGGCAGGTATCAGGTACTTTCGCACATATAAGCGATACGACATAAATCAGGATTTATAAGTAAGCTACACATTCTTATATGGTTAATTAAGTCGAAGTAAAAACTGATTAAATTCAATCTAGAACTTAAAGATATTTATTCTTTAAATTATATATTTCTATACATTTCATAGAGGTTTCAACGGTTCGCTAACCTGGTAGGTGCATTTCGTCGTCGTTTCTCCTGTAACCTCTTGTAGCTTAGTGGTCAGAGCGTTGGCGTTTGAATTCAAAGGTACCGGGTTCGATTCCGGGTGAGGGTGTGACAGTAGCGATAATTTTCCTCTTTGATTCGAAGCGATCTGTAGAGAATTGATTCACATTATGTTTAGTTAAATTGCTGTTTAAGTAATGTTGGAATAAGAGTGCGGTCGATTGAACAGGCAAGCACTGAAGGTTCGCTTTGCTTAACCGATTTCACGGCCGATTGATAGTACCGACATAAGTAGATTATACTAACAATTGCTTGTTATCCTCTTTCTCATACATAATTCCTAGCGGTATTTACTGCTAAAAATTTAATGAAAAATTTTGGCAAGTTGAACCAAAACGGTAACTTAAGATTAGCCCCATCTTAAATTTTTCCTTGTTTCATTTTTTTTATCGTTTGTTGTACATTCCAATATTTCTTTTTAATTTTTTATCCACGTTGAACATTCATGTGCAATGCGGATAAAATCTTGTCACAAAAAATATTTGTTCAAATCAATTAATTTTGTTGCATAATTCTGTACAAACAATAGAACGAAGGAAATGTAACATACAAAAATTAATTGATTTATACTAGGACTTCATTATTCTTAACGTCGAAAGCATTGATTTATAAATGTTAATGTTTCTCTGGAACGGATGGGTTATGTTCGAATAGAATAATATTGTTGTCCTCCTCCCATTAAATATCTGCATGGAATGATTTTCGTAATGAATTTTCGTCCCACGTCCAATCGCGAACACGTAATCTCGGCCGCCATAAATTATTTCAAAAATTGTACGTATCTAACAACAATCGGCATTGTCTAGGGTGACGTTGTGAAGGATTGAGGTAAATTGGCGACATTTTCGTGATTTAAATTGCTATTCATGATTTATACAGCGCGAATTTGAGAAACCCCAATGTCCTTGCTGTAACTTTCACTGTTTCTTAGAATTGTTCAGTTGTTGTTTTCGCGCACAGTTATAAGCAAAATTGGTCTTTATATTAGTAAGACCAAAATCAAGACTAAACGAAAAAAAACCAAGACCAAATATGCATTTATACGAAAAATTATTACTCCCGATTGATTTATGAGTTATTTATTTGAAGCAACTTTTATATACCCTTTTCTTGGAACAAACAATTGAAATTTTGGTAAATGTCTAGATGCTGGCCTCCATTTTTATTTTAAAGCAATTATTTATGGGGCCCGAAGGGGGTGGGGGTGGTTGGGATCGAAAGAGGAGGACTCCCCCACCAATGTACTATAAAAAGTTTGTGGCGGTCTAGATGGTTAGATGATGGCCCCCACCCCCATGGGGGGTGAAGGTCAGGGGGATCGAAAGAGGGTGGTCACCTGAGTAAACCCCCATAAAAAAATTGCTGCGGTCCCATCCCCATAAAAAGTTATGGTGGTTGAAAGTTNCGCATTACCAGATTTTAATAGTAAATATAAAATAAAAGAAACTTTACCATTGTTTGAAAAAGAGGATCTATAAGAATATCCTCGGAGTTCCTATGTCTTGCACTATTTTTTTTTTTCGCTAAAATTCGATAAAAAGTTAGCCGAATCAGAACTGATGGTGGCTCTGGTCTCGGCGACCATGCCAATAGGGGCGGGTCGACGTTATTTAAATAAACGAAATCGAAAACATTGTTATACAAAAGTTGAATTCCATTTTACCTCTGCAGCTAATTTTTTGACGATAGGTGGTTATGTCATTCCGATATTTATAGAATTACATTTTCAACTTTATTTGTAATTTACTTCCGCCCGGATTTGCAAAATCCCCACCGCGTCTGTCTACCAACACTCCCAATATTGCTTAATACATAAATCATGAATATTGACAAATAGCGTTTCAGGGAATTTATAAATTTGTGCATGTGAATGCGCAGAAACAGCTAACTGGATTATTACTGGATTCTCGTCATTGGGGAAAATATACTTAATTACTTACATCGAAGGTTGATTCTAATTACTGAACTCCAATACATGTTATAATTATGATCACAAATAATTTATTAGTCGGTAATAATAATTTCACTTCAAAGCCTATTAAAAATATAGTGTATAGAGTATATTATGGATACTAGAACCACCCCCATTCATAATGACCAGTGTTACATTGTCATCCATAACAATATAATGATTAGGAATAGTGTTTTGGAAGTATTCATCCTAACCAATTTTATAAACGCCCATGTGAGTTTGTTGGTTTGTTGGCTTTTCTCGCCTTAAATATTCAATCGATCGTCATAAAATTTTGTACACACATTGTTAGGGTACAGAAAAGCACATAGGGTATTTTTTATCCAGAAAAAATATTGTTTCCTA